AGCAGATATTATTATTATGAACTATTTTTTAGATAAAGCTATAGATAATACAAGTCTATCAGAAGAAAATTATAACTATGATTTTATTAAAAATTTAAAATTATAATTTGAGCAGTTAGAAATTAACTAGATAAAAATAGTTTGATAATATATATAGTTTTAAATTATCTTAATACAAATATTCAAAATATAGTAAAACAGATCATAATTTTTGCAACTATAAAAATAAAAAGAAAAACAAGTCTAGATATTTTAGCGAAAGCAAATTTAAAAAAGATAAGATTAATTTTGTTATTAAAAATTCAGATTCTGAGTCTAATACTAGCTCTTCTGATAATAAATCTAATTGGGTTGAGTTCACTCTGGAGCTACTTCAGATTTGCTTAGTAGTTGCTCCGGTTAACTCCAGATTTTTAGTCATAACTTTAACCCACTCCAACTTGGGTTGGGTTCACTTCGGAGCTGCTCTGGAGTATGCTACTACTTAGGACAACTATGAGAAAGCATAAAAAAAATAGACAAAGATTAAAGTATACACAAAGTACTTTAAAGAAATCTTTAAGCCCTTGATGAGCCGACAGAATATGGAAGTACTCTGAATAAGTTTACTAAATTTTTTAGATATGTGGACTACTAAGATTTTGCTTTACTATGAAGATAATATTCACTAACTTAGAAGAGTTAAGTGATAAAGATTTTACAGAACTGCTAGAATCAATTAGAATTTGCAGTGCTCATTTTTAAAGGGAACAGAAATGTTATAAAATGAGTTTCAATTATTTTATCTTAGTATTTTATTTTATTATTTGATTATTAGTATTTTTATAAAATAGTTAGTTTCTTGAATGTACTTTATTTATTATATTACTTTTACAAATAATTTAGTAGTCACAAATAGATTTAGACTTTACTATTAGATCTAGTTCAAAGAAACTTTTCAAATGAGCTATAATTTATAACTGTAGAACTCATAGTTTTAGAGTTGTCTTAGAAATAACTAAGAAATAGTTACTGTTCTTACCGTTCTTACTGTTCTTACTATTCTTACTATTCTTACTATTCTTACTATTCTTACTATTCTTACCATTTCTACCATTCTTATTCTTAATTGTAAAAAGCTATATAAACTCTCTCTTTTCCTTTTGCCTCAACTTAGGTTTAATCTCTGCAATCTCCTTAATATTAAAATTCTCTTAGCACAGAAACTAATAGATAGTCTTGTATTATCGATATTATATTCTAAATAAAATATAATCTTTGCTTTTTTATTAACTTTGTAATGAACTGCTACAGTGAAATAATATTCTACTTGGATACTGTTAAGAGCCTCTCTTCCATATCTTATATTACTTGTATTAAATTAAGAAGGCCGACACTTGTAATAATATTATAGTAAAAGTAGTAGCAATTAATATTACTAGAGATATTATTAAATATAGAATTAAATTATTGAGATAGTTATTAAGAGAGAATATACATATAAAAGATATTATAAAAAATTTTACAAAAAGAAATTAATAGTATATAATTATATTTAATTATAAAAAAAGGTTTGAAGAAGCTAAGACAAGACTAGAAAATTCTAAAAAAGAATATAAAAAACTCAAACTTATTTCAGAAAAAATACAAAAAATAAGTTAAAAAAAAACTCAAAAGTTAAAAATAAAAAAGAAATTAAAAGAGAAGAAAGTAGAAGTAAAAGAGAAGAGCATATTTAAAGAGAATTAGAAAAACTATTTAAACAAAAAAAAAGAAAACTTCATTAAGATAATTACAAAAGAGTTAGTACTATTATTATTATTAGTAAATCATCACATAATTTTTAAAAAAATTTAGGTAGTGATTTAACTCTTGTTTTAAGAGACATAGCATATTCTTTAATAAATAAATAAAAAAAAATATAATGAATGATCAATTATTTAATTAATAAAATTTTTATATTTTTGGAATTTTAAAAATTCAGAATTTCAAGGTAATTATGAATTTGTTTTTAATTGATTAATTTTATTTGTAACTTATAGTTTGTAATTTATAACTAGTTTTTTTAGAAAAGCAAAAAGGATCTATATTTATATATTTTTGTTTATAAAGATTATACTAAATAAATTCTATAAGATTATATTATACAAATCTTTATAAGCAGTTATTTTTTTCTTTGTGAATTGTTGTTTGTTTCTTTGTAAGCAGTTGTTTGTCTGTGATAAAACTATTCCAAGGTAATACAAAGCTATACTGCTTACATCATTTAATCTATAAATCATATTAATATTTTACTCTTGCCTCAACTATTCATATTAATGTTTTACTCTTGCCTCAACTACTCACTATTATGTTTATAGACGTAGCTACTACAGTTCTTAAATATAAACAAAAATATGAACAAATTACAAATAAATAACTATATACTGAAATAATAAAAGAAAACTATAATAATTGCTCTTAGTATTTACATCAAGTGATACACAAATTACGTTTTTGATACATTTCTATCACATAAAATTACTTTTTTGAGGGATCCGCTAAAGCCTTGTACCCACGTGACCAAACATGCATATCAATAATCACAATGTGATAAAATTGTATATATACTATATGTACATAAAATTAAAAATTAACCAAAAGTATCTCGATAACCACCCAAGCAAATATAATAAACTTTTTTTTATTTTAATTCTAGAGATCTCTAGAATTAAAATAAAAAAAAGTTTATTACATTTGCTTGGATGATTGTTGAGATATCTTTGCTCAAAGTTCAAAACAGCTATATATAAATAACAAACACGTGTGCAATAATTTGAACGAAGCTATCTCGACAACCATCCAAGCAAATGCGACAAACTTTTTTTTATTTCAATTCTAGATATATCTAGAATTAAAATAAAAAAAAGTTTATCGAATTTGCTTGGATGGTTGTCAAGATATCTTCGCTCAGAGTTCTGTAAAAATTAAATCGCCTATATGATTAATAACAAAAACTTGTGCAAAATAACTGATATCTTGACAACCATCCAAGCAGATTTGATGAACTTTTTTTAAATTTAATTATAAAGGTCTCTAGAATTAAAATAAAAAAGTTCATCACATTTGCTCAGATGGTTGTCGAGATATCTTCTGTAAAAATTTAAAATGGCTATATATAATTACGATAACATTCACTGTGCAATAACTTTGTACGAAGATATCTCGACATCCATTTGATGAGCTTTTTTTTATTTCAATTCTAGAGATCTCTAGAATCAGAATAAAAAAAGTTATTGAATTTTCTTGGATGGTTGTTAAGATATTTTCAAAAAAAAAATATTAAAAAATCAACAGTATAAAAAAACTCAAATAAAAATCATATATATTTATTATATTTATTTATTTATTATTATTATTTAAAAAAAATCATATATTTTAATCATTTATACATTGAACTAAAATTTTTTCTTTCAATAAATATTAGAAGCCTTTATCAGATTAAACTTTTATTAATAGAGAAATAAAAAACAGCAAAACTAAGTTCACAAAGAACATAAATACTCATTTACATCCAAATTATTTCATTCGCATTAATCTTGTCAGTACGTATAGAGAACATTTATCAATGAATAGAATTAAGAATTACAAAACAAGTCCTCAAAACAAGAACCCTAAATATTCATTTACCATTACATTTCACACACATTAATTTTGCCAGCGAGTATAAAAATCACTTATTGTGAATAGAAATAAATCACTTTATTCACATTAATTTCATCAGTAAGTATAGAGAACATTTATTAATGATAGAATAAAGTACTGAATTATTAATTTCGCTGCTGAGCATAAAAGAACATTTATTAACGAATAGAATTAAAAATAGCATAACATGTTCGCAAAACAAGATCATAAATACTTACCATTACGTTCAAATCATTTTATTAGAATTAATTTCGTCGGTAAGTATAGAGGACATTTATTTATGGATAGAATTAAGAACAAGTTCATAAAAAAAGGACATAAATACTCATTTACCATTATGTCCAGATCATTTCATATGCATTAATTAGTAGATATGTACAAGTAGTGATTTGAACCGGTTGAGCTATAATTGGTTAACTGATACGAATTGAATAAATTTCGGATAACCAGTTGAGTAAATTTTTAATCGGTTGACCCGTACAACTAGTTGAGTATCAGTAATCAGTTGACAGGATGTAAATGACATCAAGAAGGAGCAAAGGGTCCGAGAACTTCCGAAAAGAAAATGAATGAACATAAAAATTTGAGTAATAGTCCGAAAACTTACAAAGGTAAAGTATGAAGTAATCTTAATCGGTTGCAATCGGTTGACATTAAATATTTCAGTTCAGTTACCCGACTAAGGAATTTTTTCTCAGTTCAAATCACTATGTACAAGAACACTTATTAGAGAATAGAAATAAAACGGCATAACAAATTCAAGAACATTCATTAATAGATAGAACTAAGAATTGTAAAACAAGTTCACAAAACGAACATAAATATTTATTTTTTTGAAATAATCTATTTTATTTTTTTTAAAAAAAAATAAAACATATATACAATATGCTTTAAAGCATAAAAATCAGAAATCAAGAATTAAAATGTAAATTTGCATTCTATTTTCGAAATATTAAAGTTCTTATAAAGACCCCATTCGTATAGATTGTATAACTAAAATATGAACAGTGCATTTGTAAAATATCGAATGATTCAGCTTTAATTAAAAATAATAAAATTATTAATTAATTATAAAAACTTTTATCAATCATCGCTGTTTTAATTAGTGCGATCAATAAATTTTGTGAATCCCACGAATCCTGCATATTGCCATTGTTAAAACAATGGCAACATACAGGATTCATAGAATTCACAAAATTCATTGATCGCACTAATTCGAAGACAGATAAACCATAAAATATTTACCTCCGATTATTCAACAAAACAGATCCTACACCTAAGCTCAATTCTCTCATAAAAGAATTTGTTTGTTCTACATCTCTGTTTTCCTCAACTCGCTAATATATATCACGCACTTGCTCCATTAATTTATTTACGATCATACATCTATTTTCTGCAGCTTTTTCAGCCTCTGATTTTTCTGGTACTTCAATTTCAACTAATTCTCGACCCTCATATATTTTGAATCCATTATCCTCAAAAATTCACTGAAATTTTCTCCAAGAATCAATGGTTAGTTTATTGGTACTATAAATGTGGTCATGAAAAATATGCCGGCAAGGTAGCAAGTAACGACGGAAGAACAAGCACTGACAGTCTAACGATATTAAACCTGGAGGCCCTTTACCTTTTTCCAATCTTTTTGCTACAGCAAAAATTTCATCAATGACCATTTTTTGGATAGGATAGGGAAATTTATGGACTTCATTAAGAATTTCATAATCAACGCCAAATGCTAATATTCTTTTTGTACGGAATTCAAAGGCTACATACTCAGCATCAGACCATTTTTTTGCATCCACTGCTACAATGTTATGACAGGTGCCAATTAAACCATGGTGAGGAGAGGTTGTACGTTTTAGCTCACTATGATACGATTCTATAGGGTTGGTGGATGTTACTTGCATAAGGAGAGGGGAATGTTGGCAGGCCCAAAGAGCCCATTGGTGGGTATTTTTTTTGTAATTTCGAACTATGTATCTTTGAATTGTAGGAATAGGACATTTGTCAGCAGCCTGTTGAACAACCTCCTCGCACCCGATTTTTGTTTGTTTATGCATTGCTCTAATCATTTCGTTTCTGGTTTTTACTTCATATACCTTACTCATCCAGGTTCGCATAACATAGACGGTACAAAAGATAGTGCTACACTCCTGCTCACCAGCTTGAAGGCCTGGGAAAGCCAACGTAATAGCATTGCTCTCTATACTACTTTGATCGATAAGAAAATATCGGAGTTTCCAGTTACATCCTAACCTTTTTATTATTTTTAATGCTTCTGCGACAGTGCTGCTATCTTCTTTGCTTACAAAAAAGTACGCACTGATGTTCCAGCAACCATGACCATCGCGGATGTATAATGAAAACAGACGCCAATCATGCCTGTTCGTTTTATGCGTAGAATCAAGAAGAGTCAGCCATCCAAAATGTTGAAGTTTCTCCAATTGATTTTTATAGGCAAAAACGAAACCCCAGGTATGCTAGGGATGAACTTCATAGTACTCAACTTGGTACTTCCGATTCTTTAAAAAAAAAACTGAATCCTGAACATCTACTATCAATTGTGAATTACTGATAAGAGGGGCATTCTGAGACTCTCGAACTTTGTATTTTATATTGGCAACCTCCTTACATCTTAACTCTTTTATGCTTTTACCAAGCCCTAAATTCACCGTGGCATATTCTTTAATTGCACTAGTTATCGCAGGGGACAAATAGTTCTTCACAGCTTCCCGCTCAACTAAAACTCGAACAGCTTTTGAACGTTTAAGCTTTTCACTATCCTCCAAAGTATGAGCATGATCAGGAGAGTTTGAATACTGTTCGACCCATACTACTTGATCTGTTACCAAGTGAAATACTTTAATTTTTGCGGAACATTGATCAGCGGGACGAACTTTGGTTTTTCGGCGCTTTTCACTTGGTATCCCCTCTTTCCGAGTACTTGATTCATTGTGCTTGGTGAGCCGACAAGTGTATACCTTCCACGAGTTTCCATTATTATGGATTTTATAATTAAATTGAGTCTAAACATTGGACACAATAGGCCACTACTCGTCATCAAATTCTCTTAATGGAATTGTAACAGGTTGATTAATATTAAAGAGAACATTACGTTTCTCATTAGAGGTTAAATTCGTTAAGTTCATATGTTTATAAAATATTGTCAAAAAAAAATATATATATATATATAAAATATATATATGTGAAAAAAAAAATGTTTATAATAAAGTATTAACCCGACACTAGAAAATGAACTAAAAATGAAAAATAATAAAGCTCTGGCTTACGGGGTAGTATAAGTAACGGTACACGCTATTCCATTTAAAAAAAAACTGCGAAAGTAACAAAAAAGAAAAAAAAAACTGCTGAAAGCAGAAAAAATCTGCGAAGGCAGAAAAAAAAAAAAAAACTGCGAAGGCAGGAAAAAAAAAAAACTGCGAAAAAAAAAAACAATTAAATTAATCAATAATTCAATTAAATTAATCAATAATTCAATAATCACATTGTGATTATTGATATGCATGTTCGATCACGTGGGTACAAGGCTTTAGCGATCCCTTTTTTGATGTATCTGCATAAACATTATGAAGATCACATCAGAAATGGAATTTAGAAATTTTTTGTCGATCCGCACGCGTGTTTAAATTTGTAATTTAGTGTAACAAAAATATGCATGCTTACGCGTTTGTTATACTAGGCTGATGCGTAGCATTGTGTTCGGAGCACATAATATAACAAACACGTAAACATGCATATTTTTGTTACACTAAATTACAAATTTAAACACGCGCGCGGACGGACAAAAAATTTCCAAATTACATTTCTGATGTGATCTTTATAATGTTTATGCAGATACATCAAAAAGTAATTTTATGTGATCGAAATACCTCAAAAACGTAATTTGTGTATCACTTGACGTAAATACTTAAAGTCCTCCGCAAAATAAATAAATAATAAAATATAATAAAAAAAATAATAAACTCGTGACTTGGAAAAGGCATGCCCGTCACAAGGAAAACTTGTTTTGAATTTTTCTGATCGTGCTACGTTACACCGGAACCTGATCTTGAAATCTGATTTACAATATAAATAACT